CTCACAGGCCCCTGCCCAGCTCCTCACCCGGAATCGTTCCTCCAGAAGGGAGAGCTCACTGATGAGGTCTGTGATGGCATTGGTGAAGGCCTCCTGGGGACTGTAGTCTGGGGTGGTCTGCACACGAATGATGATCTTGTGCTCCAAGGGGTGAGGGACTTTGTAGCCGGCAAACAGCACCTGTGGGTCCTTCAGCAGCTGTCTGAGAAACATAGACTGTGAGGGAGGAGGTCGACCCTGGCTGGCTTTCTAACCAGAGTAGCTCCCTGCCCCCAAGTGTAAATAAGGAGAATGGTGGTGTGGTGTAGGCCCGTCAGTCCAAGACCACCTTAGCCAACCTGGTGAGATTATCTTTAAAAAATAAAGAGGGCTGGGGGTGTAGGTCAGTGCTAGAGTACTGGCCGAACACACATGAGGCTTGAGGTTCCCGCCCAGCACTAGGGGGAGGGGAAATCAAGTTAAAGGGACTTAAGGCCTGTTATCTATGAGACCAAGGGCCTTGGCTGGGAGCCAGTTTGTGATGGCATCTTTCATCATAGAAGCTGAGAACCTAGACAGTGGCTGTGGAGCGCACCTAGGCCAAAACATGGCCAAGGTTGAAGTGACCAGAATACAAGGCCCCATTCCTAGGTATAGCAAGCAGGTGGGAAGAGAAGGGCCAGGCTCTGACGACCCCCAGGCAGCTGAGGGAAATGAAGAACCTAAGGGCACGGGCTCTAACTGGCCCCTGCCATACATCTGAAGAGTTGTAGAACGGGGTTGGAGCAATGGCTGCTCTTCCAGGGAACCTTGGTTCTCACATGGCAGCTCACAACTAAGAGTTCCAGGGGGATCCAACACTCATGGCATGCAAGGGCACCATATGCTACACAGACCTATGTGCAGAAAACAGCCTTGAAGAGTTAGAGGTTGAGCTGGAGAAACAGCACAGTGGTGGAGCACTCATTGCTCTTGTAGAAAATCTGGGTAACTGCAGCTCCAGGGATCCAACAACCTTTCCTCGCCTACTCAGACACCACACTCACAATACATACATTAATTTAATTTTTTTGTTTGTTTGTTTTTTGTGAGACAGGGTTTCTCTGGCTGTCCAGGAACTCACTCTGTAGACCATACTGGCTTTGAACTCAGTGCCTGCCTCTGCCTCCTGGTGCTGGGACTAAAGGCGCGCGCATGTCTATTCTATTCTTTAAGCTGCAGGCTGGCCTGGAGAAGGGGCTTAGCAATTAAGGGGCTCCCAGCACCCATGTGGCAGCTAACAACCACCTGTACCCCTGTTCCAGGGGCTCTAGGGCCTTCTGACCTTCATGGGTAACAGGCATACACATGTGGTAGACATATGTAGGCAAAACATGCATAAGTTTTTGGGTTTTTTTGTTTTTAACTTAAAGAGTGGAGAGGACCCAAGGCAGTTCCCAGCACCTGTGAGGTGGGAGTCATCTATGGCTCCAGCTCCAAAAAACTCAGTGCATCCGACCTAAAAAGGTGCTGGCACTCACACTCAGGTACAAAACCACAAGTTTTTACAAAGTTGAAGGACAAAGAAAAGGAGCTGCAGGCTCAGCAAACCATCAAATGCAGGAGGTGCCCCTGCTGGCTTTTTGTTTGTTTTTGTTTTGAGATGAGGTCTCTATGTAGACCAGGCTGACCCTGAACTCAGAAGAGCCCTGCCTGCCTCTGCCCTCCGAGTGTGGCAGGTATAGGTGTGTGCCACAATACAATCACCTGCTGACCTCTTGATGCCCATTAAAATGAAAACCAGCTTTGCTGGAGTCCCCGGAACTTGATTTTAGCCAAAAGACCAAGAGGCAGTTGCTGAGAGTCAACTGCAAAGTTTTACATTACATAAATTAGCCTACACAAAGCTCAGGGCCTCAGCAATGGGAAGGTACAGGCAGGGCTCAGGAGTCCCTAATGGGGTCATCCTCCATTATGTAGTGAATCAGCCTACACTACACAAGACCCATGTGAGCAGACCTCACTGGCCAGGCTGGAAGGAAGGATCTGACCTGATGTATCAGCAAGCTAAGGAGAGACTGTTACAGGATACATACTCAACTTAGAGCCCTGTGATACCCAACCCCCAGGGCCTCTGGCCTGGGACTTACGATTTGATGATGTTCCCCAGAGTGTGGTCTTCTTTGTTGATGGTGAACAAGCAAGCATTGGGCACCTTAGTGTCCTTGTTAATGGTGATTCTGGAAAGAGACAGGCAAAAGCTGAGGGCGACTGCTTTCCTGAGCCTACATCCAGCCAGCCCTTGAGATGCTGGCACTGATCCTCCAATCAATATCCCCTAGGGGATCAGAATGCCCCCTTTGTGGTCAAACATCCTTGAGACTGCATTTGGGGCTGTTCCCACTACCCCAGAAACCAAGGCACACAGCTCTTTCCCACATATGCATTAGCTGCCTTAAACAAGCTCTTGACTAAATTCTTTCCTAGAAGACAGCAAACAGCTGGGTGCTGGTGGCACACACCTTTAATCCCAGCACTCAGGGAGAAGAGGCAGGCGGAGCTCTAGTTCCAGGCCAGACTGGTCTACAGAGCAAATCCTAGGACAGTCAGGGCTACACACAGAAACCCTGCCTCAAAATACAAAAAGAGCTGGGTGATAGCAGCACATGCCTTTAATCCCAGCACTCGGGAGGCAGAGGCAGAGGGATCTCTGTGAGTTTGAAGCCAGCCTGGACTACAGAGCAAGTTCCAGGACAGCCAGGGCAACATAGAGAAACCCTGTTTTGGAAAACCAAAAGAAAACAATTAAAGAAAAAAAAAAGCTGAACTGTAGCTTAGTGATAAAGCAGTAACCCAGCAGGGGCCAGACCCTGGGTTCTACCTCCAGCACGACAAAGACCAAACAAGGAAACCTCTTTACCTACCCATGATGGCCCCTTATCTATACACCAGGGACCCTCATCCACATGGGACTGCTCCTTCCCCCCTCCTCCAGGACAGGGTTTCTCGATGTAGTCCTGGCTGTCCTGGAACTAGCTTTGTAGACCAGGTTGTGCCTCAAACTCACAGAGCTCCACCTGCCTCTGCCTCCGAAGTGTTGGGATTAACAGCTTGCGTCACCACTGCCTGGCTAAGGATTGTTTCTTTTTTCTAAAGCAGAATTCTCAAATTTAACACATAAATATGTATTTCCTTTGTCCACGCTGAGATCAGTGAACAACCTGCAAATTGTTCTTTCCTTCTATCATACTGTCCCGGGCATTGAACTCAAGTCAGTAGGCTTGACTGTGGGTGCCTGAGCCATCTTAGTCCTGACCGCTCTTTTCTGACAAGCTGTCTTGTACACCAAGGATCATTAATAGCATCCTTTGCCTCTGCCCACCAGATGCCAATAGCAACCGCCTGGGGACAATCATAAATGCTTCCAGACATGACCAAATGCTCTTGCCAATGGGGCACCAACAGGACCCTCAGCTGAGAAAATGCCCTCAAGGGAGGCTGAATTAGCTGACAAAGATCAAACACAAAACCCTTCACAGAGGTCTCTTAGAAGTGCGAGGTCAAGTCACAGACAAACCCAGAGAATTTCTTTGAACTTCATTATTGGCTGACTGACTGACACAGGGATGAAATGAGCCCTGTGTGCACTAGGCAGCAATTTACCACTGTGCTCTACCTCCATATATTTATTTTTGAGATAGGGAATCACTTTAGCCCAAGAAGACTTCCAAGGAGAGTATCCAGAGCTGGAGAGATGGCTCAGAACTTAAAAGCACTGGCTGCTCTTCTAGAGGACAGAAGTTCTTTTTCCAGTAACCACATGGCAACTTAAAACAGTAACTCAAGTTCCAGGGTCCTGACACCCTCACAAAGACATACATGCAGGCAAAACATCAATGCACATAAAATATAAATAAATGCACATAAATTTAAAAAGGGAGGCACGCAGGAAAGAAAGGTTTTTAGCAACTTTTTGAGTCAACAAATGGTTGTATCTGGTTACCATTAAGACAATTACATGCAACAGGGCATGACAGCACCCAGGAGGCAGAAGCAGGTCAGCCTCTGAGTTTGAGGTCAGCCTGGTCGACAAAACAAGTTCCAGGACAGCCAGGGCTGTTACACACAAAAAACCCTATCTCAAAAAACCAAAAGCAAGTCGGGCGGTAGTTACGCACGCCTTTAATCCCAGCACTCGGGAGGCAGAGACAGGCGGATCTCTGTGAGTTCAAGGCCAACCTGGTTTACTGAGAGGGTTACACTGAGAAACCCTGTCTTGGAAATATATATATAAAATCGTTAATAAAAATCACCAGTCCTGCTTCATTAAACCGTTGAGTCCTAACATTCTTTTTAGCAGGGAAACCACGAATCCCTGAAAATCTAGGGGAAATCCTCAGGCTGCTGAGTGAGAAGGCAGCTGTGACTCCGTCCCTTCATCGCTGCCGTCATGATCCTCCTGCCTCAGTCGCCCAGTGCTGGAATCACAGGTGTTCGTCACCAGCGGGTTGTGAGTTCTAAAGCCATCACTGTAGCATGGATGATGGCGTTGCAGACTAGTAAAGAGAAGGCCCAGAGGGAAAGGGCTTTGGAGCCTGACGTTCTGGGTTCGAATACAGTGCCAGCCACTTCCTAAGTGGAGCAAGGGACTCAGTGTCCCCGAACCTCAGTTTTCCCACTGCAAAACGGATGCACTCGGCGAGGCTTCGCAACGCCGCCTGCTTCGGCACAGCCCGCCTCGCTTCCCCCGGGCGGGAGCAGTGTGGCGCTCCGCCGGGGCTGACGGCCAACTTACTTCTTCTCGCCCTCGAAGAGCAAGAACGACTCGAAGGCCGGAGGAGCGTTCATCCTAGCGACGCGCTCTGTCTCCGAGACTCCAACCCGCAGCCGCCGTCACCACACCGAGCCCCCGAAGCGCGACCACTTCCGGGTCACGCGGCCGCAGCCAATCAGAGTGAGCGCCTGGCTCCGCGCCTCCTGGTGGACCGGATGACCTTCCACAGGCGCACGTCGACAGGGCCGAGTGAGACCGCGAGCTGTGCGCACGCGCAAGTCTAGTCCGGTCCGTTGCTTTCACCCGGCCGCTTTTGGGCGCCTGTGCGGGGAAGGCTGAGCCACCTGCAACTGGTCCGCCCTGACCTGGCATCCGAGCTGTACGTGTAAAGTCGCCTGTGTGGGCTGCTGCTGCAGGACCCCCGGCTGGGTCTACACCGGCGTCCTTGTGAAGTTTGCTGGATGAGATTCAGGAGAGCAGGAAAATGTGTAAAGGTCGGGGAAGAGCTTGGGGTGCCGGTGGATCCTCTCTTGGGCATGCAGATAACTAAAAACACTATGAAATCCTGGCCCCTCTCCATTTTCCCAGCTGTCTCTGTGGCAGTTAGTGTTTTCTATTTTTTTTTCTTCCTATTTTTGAAGATTTCTATTTGGCTGTCTGTGTGGCACGTGTCTGTAGGTGCCTTTGGAGACCAGAAGAGGGTTGAGTCCTTTGGAGCTGGAGTTACAGGTGACTGTGAACCACCCTAAGTGGCTGCTGGGAACTGAACTTTAGTACCCTGAAGAACAGTAAGGCTCTTAACTGCGGAGCCATTTCTCCAGCCTCCACGATGGTTCTTGTCAGCCGGATGAAATTTAAGATCATTGTGGAAACAGACCTCTAGGTGGAGCCAGCAAGACAGTCCACTGGGTGAAGGTAGTGTCACCAAGCCTGACTAACCTGGTTTCAATCCCCAGGACCCATACGGTGGAAGGAGAGAAGCAACTCCTCTGACCTCCCAGTGCGCAGCACCTGCACATCGGTGCACACACAATGTAAAATTAAAAACAAAACTTCTGGGTCTGTCTGTGAGAGTCTAGACAGGTTTGACTGAGGAAGAAAGACTTGCCATTAATGTGTTGGACGCCACGCTAGAGGCTAGGGTCTCAGACTGATTAAAAGAAGAAAGTAAATCATCTCGTTCTGCTTCCTGGTGGCAGATGGCAATGGGATCAGCTGCCTGGCACTCTCGTGGCTATGACATCCCCACCATGATGAGCTGTTCCCTTCCTTAAGATGCTTCTGTCAGGTTTGTAGACAGCAACAAGCACAGTAACTATTACCGGCTCAGTGGCCCAGGCGTTGAAATCGCAGGTGGGAGCCACCCCTATCCGTTGGTATTGTGAGCACTGAGGCACCAGTGTGTGGCATGGATGATGGCGGTGCCGCAGGAAACAGGTGAAGACGATGTCAGGTGCCAGAGGGCTTTGGAACCCCTCACACTGTCACGGTCCCCCTGCCTGTGCGCATGGGCATGCTATTCCTAGAGTGTCTACCTAAGAGCTAGTCACAGCTACCCAGTGCATCTGCCTTGCAGGCGGAAGGCACAAAGATAATGCAGGCTTCTTGCTCAGCTTTTGTCCCTTCAAATTCAGAAGAAGACGAGGAGGAAGAGCAGAAGTCATCCAAGGATCTCCAGTCACAGCCCAAAGTGTGTAGTCACCTTCATTTCTAGGAACAGCAGACCCTTGAAGACAGACCACCCCGTGAGGAGTCGTCTCATGGGACAGTAAGGATTTCTTCAGGCCACCCTGAAAACCAGAGCAGAGACGACGAGAAACCAAGCCACGCCCTGACCAGTAGCACTGAGTTATTGTTTGTATTGGCTAAACTGTTTACGATCCTGCAGATGGAACCAGGGTCTTGTGTACGCCAGGCAGGTGTCCTACCACTGAACCACACTGCCAGCTTGAGTGTGATTTTTGAGCATAGCCCTTGCATTCAGGCATGGTGGCTTAGGCCTGTAAAGCCAACACTGTCAGGATGGAGTCACCGGGATCAGGAGTTCAAGATCATCAGCTAGACAGTTGTTTGAAGCCAGCCTGGACTAGATGAGATACTGTCTCAAAGCTAATGGGGTCAGAGCTGTGGGTCCATTGGGAGAGAGCTTGCTGAGCACACTTCGAGCCCTAGGTTTTGCTCTGCCTGCTCCAGTATCCTTGGGAGCTGTGGGAAAGTCCTGAGTAAGCCCATGGGAAAGAGCACACCATCTACTAAGACACAGGCTGGTGAATGCCAGCCAAAGGCACATCCAGACAGAAACAAACTGCTTGCTGCTAGCAGGACTCACATGATAGAGAACAAATCTGCTTGCACTTTCTCCCCAGAACAGTGCAGAGAGGTGGTTAACTGTACCGCGCTTTGCTCTGCCCTCTGCTCTTCATCTGTAGAAAAGCAGGTTCTGAAATAAACGCTGGGCTGTTAAGTATTGGCCAACAGACCTCCCGGATCTATCTTGTGTCTCTGTCTCGATTTCTTTCATCTGCCATTTCCTCAATCCTCGTGCCCCACTCCAGGTACCCCGGTTGACTCATCGGCAGGCTCTGTCAAGGTTTAATGCCCAGCTCTGCATGAACCGCATGGCTCACACCCCTAACCCCAGCACTTGGAGGTGGAGGCAGGAAGATTAGGAGTTCAAGGTCATCCTTGGCTATCTAAGGAGTTTGAGGCTATCCTGGTCATGTGGCAAACCCTGTCTTAACTCTTCCAGAAGAAAATAATATGAGTAATACACCACTCTTCCCTCTGTGGCAGGGGCAGAGCTGCAGCCAGGGAGCTGCTGTGGAGAAGCTTTTTCATTTAGGGATGTCTGGAGGGAAGATGTTGGCTGAGTCTGTCTAGACCATTGGTCCTCAACCACCTTCCAGATGCTGCAACCCTTAACCCAGTTTCTCATGCTGTGGTGACTCCCAACCATGAAAGTATTTTCACGGCTATTTCATAATTGTAATCTTGCTACTGTTATAAGTAAACAGTAAATACGTAAATAAGTGGTATTTCTGATGTTCTTAGGCGACCTCTGTGAAAGGGTCATTCAATCCCTAAAGGGTTGCGACCCACAGGTTGAGAACTGCTGGTCTAGATGGCTACCTTCTGGGCTTCTCTTTCTTCAAAGGCGTGAAGGCCCTGCCCACCCTGCAACTGAGCGCTCCAGCCACAAAAACACAACATGTGGCCTGGGTATCACGAGGAGAGGAAGTGACAGCGCTACCTATTCACATCCTAGTGACCCCATTCCTAACTCCATCATCACAGCCCCACACCCCTCTCTCCAACCCTGAGCAGAGGCACTGGTAATTTGGCTGTGGTATCCCATTGAAGATAGAAGGGGAGATTGTAGCCCAGCTCTGCTGCATACTTTTTAAGGGTGCCTCGAGCAGAGGGGCTTTGTGTGGTGACTGCTTCTAGCTGGAAAGAACCATCAGCCAGGTAGTAGTGGCACAAGCCTTTGATCCCAGCACTCGGGAGGCAGAGGCAGGCAGATCTCTGTGAGTTCGAGGCCAGCCCCCTCCCCAAAAGAAAGAACCATCCGGCTCCAAGCTTAATGGAGGGGTATGGAGAGCAGTATCGGGACAGCAGTTGTGAGTTTAAACAGGCATAGCCCTAGGTAATATGGAACAAGAAAACGAGGGCAGGAACTGCAGAGAGGCCATGCTGGTGACCCAGTCCTGGTCAGACTCCCTGCCCCATCAAGGGTCCCCTGGAGTCACCTTCTCAGAGCCTCAGCAGTCACAGCAGGTTTATTAATGACAGTAGAGCACCGTGACACCCGACCTAGAGGGTCACACGGGGGCAACGGTGATGTGATGGCTGGGAGTGAGGCAGGCCAAGGTGGGCAACCTGGTCTCCTGGGTGCAGAATCCGGGCCGCAGGGACTACAGAAGCAGTCAGGTCTCCCAAAGACACAGGTGCCACCGCTGTCCCCCACAGACATGGAGAAGACCATGTTAGGCTACGGCCTCCCCTGAAGAGATGACCGTGACAAGGGTCCTGAGCATGTCAAGGTTCTCCAAACACCTGCCAGGCTCGGCGTACGCCTCACGTCTGTAGCTCTAGAAGGTGATGGGGCTCTCTGGGTGATGCGCCAGCCAGGCTGGAGCTGTGGGCTTCCCGGAGGTCTTGCAGCACACAAAGCAACTGGGCCAGCGGGTCCTTGGGAGCTAGGTGGAGAAGCATCATTGGGAGAGCAGGTATGGCTTCAAAGGTCTGCCAGCCCACACCCATGTGTCCCTGGAGGCAGCTGAGGCCACCAAACCTGAGGAACCTACCTCCACCACGGTCTGTGGGTGAGCTTGTTTCTGTTTCTCCACTCAGTAGCCGCTGCTTCTCCCTGCAGAGGAAGGCAGAGTGAGGGCCAGCAGCCACACCTACCTTGCACCGAAGGCTCCCTGCATGTGGACTCCCTGACCTGCAGGTGGCGCTCAGGGGACAGGCGGATGCTTTCAGTCCACACGGAATAAACACGGGGCTTCCACTTTCATCTTCCTCTGCAGCCCACCGTTCAAACACCGAGAGGCCAGAACCTCCCCTCCCACTTTCAAAACTGTTCTCACCGCATCACCAAACCTGTCCTTGAAAGTCCATCCTCCTGCCTCAGCCTCCCTAGTGCTAGGGGTACAGGTGTGAGAACCATGCCCGGCCAGAAAACCAATGGCAAACCAAGCCAAACTGTGTCTCTCTGGTTTTGCAGGGCCTATGGGAAATCAGCCAATTGGACCCGAAGTTCCGACCTGCCAGCAGGTTATGGGAGGAATTCAGGGGTGGGGCCGCAAAGATAGAACCCAGTCTTATCTGAACTAGACACTCATTCTTCTGCTGTTTCTTTTTCGTATCGTCTTTGTTTTGGGGAACTTTTGCTTGTTTTTGATACAGGGTCTCACGATAGAGACCATGCTTGAACGCCTGTACCTCTCAAGTGCTGGGATTAAAAGCAGGTGCTACCACACTTAGCGGGTTTGGTTTCTGGGACAGGGTCTTAGGTGGCCCAGGCAGGTCTTAAACTATATCACAGAGAAAAACTTTGAACTTCACATCGTCTTGATTCCACACTAGAAGGCTGGGATTCTAGGCATGAGCACTGCGCCCAGCTCAGGGATTTTTTTAATTTGTTTGTCTTGTTTTGTTTTGTTTTTGTTTTTGCTTTTGAGACAGAGTTTCTCTGTGTAGCCCTAGCTGTCTGTAGACCAGGCTAGCCTAAACTCAAAGATCCACCTGTCTCTGCCTCCCAAGTTCTGCAATTAAAAGCGTGCACCATCATGCCTAGCTTTTTTTTTTAAATCTCAAAAAATTATTATTTTATGTGTGTAAGTGTATGTATGTGCATGTCTGTGCACCATATGCATGCCAGGTACCCACAGAGGCCAGAAGAGGGCCTCATATCCTTTTGGAACTAGAGTCACAGACAGTTGTGAGCTATCGGGTAAATGTTCTTAACTACTGAGTCCTCTCCTACCCAGGTTTTTGAGGGAAGGCCAAAATCTCAGAAGATCGCTGAGTGCCAAGAAGGACCCTTACTCCCCTGCCTGGGATCTAGAACACTGTACACAGACAAGCAGCCCCTTTTGTGTAGCCCAGGAGAAGGCTCTAGGGAGCTGAGACGGCCTTTAAGCATCCTCCAGCCTGCCCCCCCACCTGGAGCCTGGCAGTGGTGGCACATGCCCAGAGGCAGGCAGATCTCTTGGTTTGAGGCCAGCCTGGTCTGGTCTACAGAGTTAGTGCCAGGACAGCCAGGACTACACAGAAAAACCTTGTCTTGAAAAACAAAACAAAACAAAACAACAACAACAAAAAGCAGGCATCCCAGTGTTTTCTAAGGTTCATAGTCAAACCTTAATTGGCAAGCTAGCCCAGGAACTCATAGATTAGCTGGAGGCAAAGCCAGTGTTTTGATGCCATCTCTAGAAGGCTGGGCAGATGGGGTCAAATTAGCACAGGAAGCAGTTGTGGCCATGACCTCTAGCACCCTAATAGGAGATGACCTTGTCATGCAGAAAGGCAGTTGTGGGAGGGTGCTTGGCCTCATCAAAAGAGGTAATGCAGGGCCAGCAAGATGGCTCAGCAAGTAAAGGAGCTTGCTGCACAAGTCCAAGGACCTGAGTTCTGTCCCCGAGACCCACACGGAAGTAGAAGGAGAGAACTGACTCCACAAGGTTGTCCCAACTCCATGGGAACGATGTAGAAGCACGCGTCTCATGTGTTCATTATGTACACATGAAACAATAACACATAAAAGAGATGAGCACGCTGGGTGTGGTCATGCACTGCCACTTCAGCTACTTGAGAGACTGAGACAGGAGGATCACAAGTTCAAATCAATCCTGGGACACACTGCAAGACCCCGAGGACCAGGGAGATTTCTCTGTGGGCAAATGCTTGCCTTATAAGCATGAGGACCCGAGTTTGATCCACATGAAAGAGCCAGGCATGGTAGTATATGCTTGTAATCCTAGAACTGGGGAGGCGAAGACAGGTGGGAATTCTGGCTAGCCAATCTCGTCTAAGCAGTGAGATCAAGACCAATCTCAGGTCTTGTCAAAAAAAAAATATAAACACAGCAGGAGGCTGGAGAGATGTCTCAGTGGTTAAAAGCATGTACTTCTTGCTGGACAGTGGTGGCACACATCTTTAATCCCAACACTCGGGAGGCAGAGGCAGGTGAATCTCTGTGAGTTTGAGGCCAGCCTGGGCTACATGGTGTGTTCCAGGACAGGTTCCAAAGCTACAGAGAAAACCTGTCTCAAGAAACAGAACAAAACAAATGAGAGAAAGGAAGGAAGGAAGGAAGGAAGGAAGGAAGGAAGGAAGGAAGGAAG